CCCCCAGTCCTAGACGAATAAAAGTACCCCGTAGTTTTACAGTTTGGTGTTTTGTGACTATGTTTCAATCTGGTCCTTGGGACCTTGTTGGGAGGGATGGCCCTGGGACAAGGATACATGCAGAGGGTCAGGCTGGACCCCGGACTCCCCTCCACCCGTTCACCCTCCTGCCCTGGCTCCTGTCTGCTGGGTAGATGTAGGCACCAAAGGTCAGGCTGGATCTCAGTTATTGTCCAGCAGCGGGAAGCCTCACACACCCACCCATTGTCTTCCCAGCATGACCAACGGTGGCAAGACCACACTGACCAACAGCCTGCTCAAGACACTGCCCAACTGCTGCGTGATCCACCAGGACGATTTCTTCAAGGTGCAGCCCCGGCCAAGGGGGGCGTGGAGGGACAGAGGCAGAGGCAGGCCATGGCCCGTCTGCCCTCTGCGGCCTGAGTACCTCCCAGGCTGGGCACAGGCCTCGACTCGCATGACCCATGGGGTCGCCCTGGGCCAACTGGGTCAGGAGAGTGAACGTGGGGCTTCCTGTTGGTTGTATATATGACCGTGCCCCATGGACACCCCACAGGAGGGACGCCCATTGAGAAGATGAGGGGACAGAGGCCTTTAGGGGGACACACTTCGGTCACCCTTGGGCCTCTACTTTTCCCATGCGACAGTGGACTCCGAGCTGCCCTCGAGATGTGTCCAGGGGTGGTGGGGGCTGAGGTGGTGGGTGTGATGTTCCCTCCCTCCTGTCCCTGCCCATCACAGGGCAGAGCCGAGAGCTACCGTGGCACCGCTGCCAAGGGTGGGGCTAGCAGCCCTACCCAGACCCCGTCCTACCAGGCCCTGCCCTGCCATGACCACGCCCACAAATACCCCGCCCACCCAGGCTCCGCCCCGGGGAGGGTGGGGAGAGGCGGCACCCACACTGAGCCCTCCGCTGGGGGCACCTGTGTTTCAGCCCCAAGACCAAATAGCAGTTGGGGAGGACGGCTTCAAACAATGGGACGGTAAGGACGGCCGCTTCTCCCCCTCCGCCCCCCACGGGCCCGGTCCCTGGGTCCCTCCGACGCCCCCCTCTCGCGCCCGCAGTGCTGGAGTCGCTGGACATGGAGGCCATGCTGAGCACGGTGCAGGCCTGGGTCAGGAACCCCTGCAAGTTCGCGCGCGCGCACGGCGTCCCTGTGCAGCCCGCGGCGTCGGACACCCACGTGCTCCTCCTCGAAGGCTTCCTACTCTACAGCTACAGGTGCGCAGGGCGGGGGGCAGCCGCGGGCCGGCACCCCGCACCGCGCCCTCCCGCTGGCCTCGCAGGCAGAGCCGGGCACTGCGCTGAGCGCTGAGCCCCCGGGCAAGTCGTCGTCCCCCTCTATGCCCCTCCAAATTGGGTGCCCATGGTGAGGGTGGGGCGAGGGTCCTCAGGTAACACACGTGGTTCAACGACAACCTGAAAGGGGGGCGGTTGAATCCCCCCCGGCCTTGATGCAGGAGAAAGGCCCGGCGATCGGTTTCCAAAGAGAGGCCAGGCTAAGAGACCCCTGGGGGGGCACAGTTCGGGCGTCTCCTGAGGTCCGGGTTTGATTTGTTCTTTTTGGATCTCATCCTTGAGGGGACTTCTGGCAACGTGAATTGGGGGGGAGGAGGGGAGGTCCATGGGACTCATTAGGGGTGTTTCCGGTGCTCCATGGGAGGCTGGTCAATGCTGGTATCCTTCTTGGCCCCCTAACCTGATGTCCAGACCACCCCCACCCGCCTGCCTTCATCCAATGGGTGTCCATGAAACCCAGCCCCAGCTGCAGGGTTCCGGGGTCCTAGAGGCAGTGGGGACACTGGGTGGGAATAGGGGGTGTGGACCACATCAGATGACACTCACAGGGAGTGACACGGGAATGTCTATCAGATGCTTGTGCAGTGTTTCAGCGGAAAAGTCTTATTCTTTACAAAGGAGGAGCCCTGGTGGCGTAGTGGCTTCCTTCCGCTTTGGGCTGTGAACCACAAGGTCAGCCGTTCGGACCCACCAGCTGTTCCTTGAGAGAAAGATGAGGCTTTCTACTCCCGTGAAGAGATAACCGTCTCAGAAACCCACAGGGGCGGTTCGAGCCCGACCACAGGGTCACTGCCTGGGCATCAGCCCCGTGGCAGTGAGTGAGGAGGAGTGGTTTTGTCAGATTTATTGGTATATCAGTTCCAACATCATGGCACTGAGGATTTGTGAACTGAGGTCCATCAGGGAGGTGACACCGGGAGCCGCCAGCCCCAATGCCCCCGCCATCAGCAACAGGACAGGGTTCATTGGGCCCCGGGAAGCTCAGGTGCTGGCCATGTCCCCGCCCCTCCCCAGGCCCCTGGTGGACTTGTACAGCCGGAGGTACTTCCTGACTGTCCCATATGAAGAATGTAAACGGCGGCGCAGGTGAGTCTGGGAGGCGGGGCCGAACCAGGCACAGCCCAGGTGGGACCAGGAAGGAGCCTGGCAATGCCCGTTGGACACAGGCCACCTGCAGTGGGGTGGGGAGCAGGTGGCTGGGGAAGGACACTGTCATCCCCACACCTGCCTCGTCCACCCACGGGAGGGGACCACCACAGCTCAGGGTGGGGTCTCTACATGCGAATCCCTTCACAGCAGAACGCTATGGACAGTGGCCTAACTCCGGTCTCTCTGGGCGGCTGAGGTCAGCTGGGGCTCTGTCTTGCTCCCTGTGGGCCACCACTCATTGAGACCCATCTCTGTGCAGTACACGCAACTACCAGGTCCCTGACCCGCCGGGCCTCTTTGATGGTCACGTGTGGCCCATGTACCAGAAGTACAAAGGGGAGATGGAGGCCAACGGCGTGGAAGTGGGTAAGTTCACAGTCGCCTCCTGCCTCCAAAAACACCCGCAAAGTAGAAACAACCTATGGGGCTCCCTCCCTGTGTGGGGCCCTTGGAAGTCCCTCCTCGAGTCTCACTCACAGTCTCTCTTGCTTCGGGCCCAACCGCTGTGCCACTCCAGCCGCCTGACTCCGCAGGCAGGTGGCTTTCCTCCTGACCCAGCAGTCTGCCTGGCCCCCTTAGAAGCTGGCCACCTTCCTGCTGGCAGTGGCTCATCCAGTAGCCCAGACCTCTGGTGTCCCTTGACCCTGAACCCCTCTGATTTCAGTGTACTTGGACGGCACCAAGGCCCGTGGGGAACTGTTCCAGCAGGTCCTGCAAGACATTCAGAATTCGTTCTTGAACCACTGCTAGCCAGCCGAGGAGGGGCCCTCCCCTGGGACCCAGGCCTGCAGTGTCCCTTCCCCTCCCTCCGGGGACATTTGTACATAAGGGGGCGGCAGCCCCACTCCCAGCCTGTCACCTCACCGTGGCTGATGTATTAAACTCAGTCCTGTTTTTATAGCTGTTGGGGTTCTGTGTGCTCTGTGGAAGAAGGGGACCCCGGTGACCTGTGTTGGGGTTGGGTACCATGGCGCCCGGTGTAGAACCGCCCGCCCCACGGAGCTTCCTAAGTTGTGACCACAACAGGAGGGGCGCACCAGGGGTGTGGCGCACCTTTCTTCCTGGGTACAACTGGGTGGGTTCAAAATGCTGACCTCTCTGTTAGCAGCTGAGCGCTGGAATGCTGCCCCAACAGGACAGCTTGGATTACTGTTGGCGTCTGGGCACCGCGCTGAGAACCCCAGACACCCACAGCCTCTACGTGTCCGCCCAGGGGTGTGGCCTCATGAGCTGACGGGACCCCCCAGGCCTCCGTTTCCCCAAGAGGGAGATTTCCTCTGAGCTTTCCCCAGACAAGCCTGTGCCCTTGGGGTCTTGCCCTGGCCCACCTCTGTCTTCCCCTCTACACTGGGCTGGCCCCATGTGCCAGGGTTATGGGAAAGCCCCCTGGACACCCACACCCAAGCCCTAGCTCATGGCCATCAGGGACAGGCTAGGACTGCGCTGCGGGTTTCCAGGACTGAAACTCTTCACAGGAGTGAAAAGCCTCATCTTTCTCCCGCCGAGTGGCTGGTGGTTTTGAACAGCTGACCTCCCATGCAACCGCCCTGTAACCGCTGCGCCACCAGGACTATCCTGTCCAACCCCTCCCCAAGTCCCCTCAGCAACCTCAGGGAGGCATTTTCTCACAACTCCCATTTCAAAGAGTCAGTCAGGGCCCTGGCAGAGCTGGGACTCCACCTGGAGATCCGTGCTGGGGGAGGGGCGCCCAGCGAGCAACACCCCGTGTCAGAGCGAGGAGCTGCAGGCGCCTGCCGGCGTCTACCCAAAGACTCCGTCCAGTCAAGATCAACCGGAATAAAATCAGAGCCTGTTTGGAAATTACCTTCTCAATGAGGAAAAAGGACCGATCCTTCTATGACCCAGAACATTTATATAGCTATAGTCATTAAGTCAACCCAGAACGTTTATATAGCTATAGTCATTAAGTCAACCCAGAACGTTTATATAGCTATAGTCATTAAGTCAACCCAGAACATTTATATAGCTATAGTCATTAAATCAACCCCAGCGCACACGTGTCCTGGTAGAACTCAGCACGGTTTTCTTGGCTGACTACTCAAGTAGATGGCTGGGAACCCTGTTGGCATAGGGGGTTCCTCATTGACCTGCTAACCGCAAGGTCCGCGGTTTGAAACCACCAGCTGCCTCACGAGAGAAAGATGAGGCTTTCTACTCCCATAAAGGGCTACAGCCTCAGAATCCCACAGAGGACAGCCCGACCCCATCTTAAGAGGGTTTCTGAGTCAGACAGGCTTGACGGCAGTGAGTTTGGATTTAGGGGTTGGTTCTTCCAAGGCACTGTTGGGTGGGAAGATCTGAACCACCAACCTTCAAATCCTTAGCCCATGTGCCCCACCCAAGAACCCCCACCCTGCAACGTATAAACCCAAGGTGAGTTAAAACAGGCACCAAACAACTGTTTCTACACACACGTTCATCGCAGCCTTCTTCCTCGTATCCCCAAAGGAGAAACAGCCCAGGTGTCCGCGCACACAAAGGCGCTCCGTCCCTCCAGGGACAGCCCCTGGAGCATGTGAAGAGAAACGCCGTTCTGTAACAGGGATGAACCCTGAAAGCGTGATCGCGGAGAGAGGCCAGGCCCCGGAGGCCACCCGGGGCGTGATTGCCACCAATAGGAAACGTGCAAAACAGGCAAATCCACAGACTTCCTGCATCTGTGGATTAGTGGTTGCCTAGGAGTTGAAGGATCAGGGAGACGAGATTGGCTGCTGATAGTTCCAGCTCTCTTTGTGGGGATGAGAGCCTTCTGGGGTGACTTTGAGGTGCAGCCCTATGACGGCGAGTACTCGATAAAACACTGAATCTTACATTTTGATCGGGAAGGCTGTGTGGTATGTGAATTCCACCTCCAAAAATAGAAATAAAAAAAAAAACTGTTAAAAAAAATCCTGGTGTACTTGATCTTTGAAAAAGCATAGTGGTCCATTTTATTTTTTTCATAGTTTTTTCAACATATCGGCATCTGTTCAGCGTGCATCTCTCCTGATGTGAAGGGAGAGAGCCCCTGAGCCAATGCCAGTTCTTCAAAAGGCCAGAGTTACTGGCTGGCTGAGATGAGAGGACCCCCTGAGACTGTCACCCAAAGGTCTTCTTGAAACCTTGAGCTAAAACTTTCCCCTGGCTGCATCTTGTAGCTAAAGAATAAACTGGCGTATAAAAACCAAGGATCCCGGGGAGGAGATGAGCCAGTCAGGGTGCGATGTAACAACGACGAGAAATACAACTTTCCTCTAGTTCCTCAATGTTTCCTCCCCGCTCCCACTACCATGACTCAAATTTGACCTTGCAAGTCTGGCTAGACCAGAGGATGTACACTGGTACAGATAGGAACTGGAAATACAGGGAATCCAGGGTGGATGAGCCCTACAGGACCAGTGGTGTGAGTGGCGAAACAGGGAGGGTAAAGGGACAGTGGGTAGGAAAGAGGGAACCGATTACAAGGAACTATATGTGACCTCCTCCCTGGGGGACAGACAACCGAAAAGTAGGTGAAGGGAGACGTCGGACAGGGCAAGATATGACAAAATACCAATTTATAAACTATCAAGGGCTCATGAGGGAGGGGGGGAGCAGGGAGGGAGGGGAAAAACGAGGACCTAATGTCGGGGGTTTAAGTGGAGAGAAAATGTTTTGCGAATGATGTACAAATGCGCTTTACACAATTGATGTGTGTATGGATTGCGATATCAGTTGTATGAGCCCCTAATAAAATGTTTTTTTAAAAAAAGACAATATGGTCAAATAAAAAAAACACCCCAAGGATCCATACACACGGGCCAGGGAAGAAGGAGAACATCCGATTGAAAACAAACTGTTTCAGGGGAGAGGAAGAGTTCCTGGAGAAGAGAGGAAGGACAGCTACCTTTAACCAGAAGGAACCAACTCTTGGTTGATGTCCAGAAACACAGAAATGACTAGCACCTGTTTGTCTAAATAAAGCCTTTTCCCTACCTTGAAAAAAACAAAAGAAAAACAAAACAAGGTATGACCTATGTATATGGGACTCCATTAAAAAGATAAATAAAATAAACCCACTTGTGGCCGGAAGGCCAGCACTGACTCTAAAGCAAAGATGAGAAGATAAGGAAACAGGGAAACTAGACCAACAGAAATGGAACAACCAGAATGCAATGGAAGTGAATGCTGCAGTGGGAAGAGCACAACCAATACCGATCACTCAGCAGTTTATTTAGACATTGTCAGACGGGGACCTTATATGCTGTGTAAGCCAGATCGGACAACAGACTTACTGTGTTGTTGTTGTTTTAATGCAGTCATCCATCTTATTAAAATTGGACTAGCAGAACATCCAGAGAAAGGTAGGACTTTGTCCTCCTGTGAAGAGTTGCTGTCTTGGAAACCCACAGGGCAACTTCACCCTGTCTTGTAGGTCCCTGTGACCTGGCATCACTCGATGGCAGTGAGAGCCATACATGAACCCTGTCCTGACACACACACTCACACTCACCGCCATCGAGTCGATACCGACTCACAGTGACCCTACAGGACTGGGTAGAACTGCCCCGGGGGCTTCTGAGATGGTAACCCTTCACAGCAGGTGGGGAGACCCATCTTTCTCCCTCAGAGCAGCTAGGGGTTTCAAACTGCCGACCTTGTGGTTGGCAGCCCAACATATAACCCCCTAAGCCACAAGGGCTCCCGTGCTGATTCAGGGCCCATATTTTCATGGGAAACCAATATCCCTTGGAATTGTGTTTGGGAGTGTCCTGCAAGGGAGGTGCATAATGGAAATGTTGCCTTGGTAACCAAGATAGATGGATCTGTTGCCATCCATGGTTTGTGACATTTTTCTTTGCCCTTCCATGCCCTCATTCAAGCTCTGTATCTCAGCTGAGCCATGAAAGCCATTATGATCTCAAACCAACGGACCCGACCCCCGACCCCCCATCCCGATGACCTGTCCCTATACTTATCTTGGTCCTTATTCCGTTTGAGACTTAATAAATGCCCTCTTTAAATAAAGGAAAAAAAATTAAGCCTTTCAATCGTGATGCCTGAGAAGCGTAGGGAATTCTAATCTCCGTGTCTATAAATAAAATTGCATTGGCCCAGAGCCACGCCCACTCGCTTTACGCGGCACCTTGGGCGGCTCCCTGGAGACAAGGAGGGCACAGCGCTGTCTGTTCGCCGAAGCTGAGTCCCTTCGCAGAAATGGCCCCGTTGAGCAGTGTGATGCCCGCCCCCGCCCCCACCCCCAGTTCTGGAATGGCTGGGGGGCACAGGGAGAGGCACTGGCTGCAGTCAGGCAAGACTCTCCAGGGAGGAGGAAGAAGGAGCCCGGGGGCCTGCCAGCCTGTGCCCGAAGCTTGGCCGTGCTGATCTGCCATCACTGGGTCCCGAATAGCGCAGGCCAGGGAATAGGATCCCGGGCCATCCAGCCCCCTCCCTGCCTGCCCTCCCAGGCTCTGAAGCAGAGTTGTGCAGCTGGACAGTGGAGACGGGAGTTAGGGAGTGATTGGAGCCACCAGGTTTCTGAATTGCTGGCTTCTGCACTGAGAGTCACCCTAAACCCCAAACCAAACCTTTCTGCCTCGGAACCGATGTTGACTCACAGCGACCCTGTAGTCAGGACACGGTAGAGCCTTGCCCCGTGAGTTCCTGAGACTGTCACTCTCTATGGGCATAGAAAGCCTCCTTTCTTCATGGAGCAGGTGGTGGTGTCTAGCTGCTGACCTTGGACTTAACAGCCAACACATAACCTGCTACATCACTCTCCACCCGGTGGGGGTGAGGGAGGACCTGCTGGGACAGCTGATCACCAAACGAGGACCCCATTCTGTTTCTTCTCCCGTGTCTCCAAAGCTCACGGCAGCCCGGTGGCACCCATTTGCTAACCAAAAGGTTGGGGGTTGAAC